GGCTAAAAAAAAAGCCAAGCGCCAGCCGCTCGGAAGGCAATTTAACTCATATTCAAACAGAAAAATAAAGTAAAAAGCAGCCTCGGCACTCTCCTTCTCAGGGAAAAGGAGGGAGAAAGGGTAATGGGACCTTGGCTAAGGAAAAAGAGATAAGTTCATTATCGCCGGCTGGAGCAGGCAATTAGCAGCCGGTGCTGTGCTCAGACTCCACATCCCCTTTCAGCCTCAGTAAGGGCAGAGACCTTTCTCCTCCTCCTGCCCCAACACAAGAGAGGGCCTGCCCCTCGGGAGGCTCAGCCCTGGGGGCATCAGCACTTGGATTCGCGGCTGGATTTTTCAATACAGGATTCAAGAGGGATCCCAGGCACCGGCACACAGCCCGAGCCGAGCCAAGCGGCAGCCCCCAGCTGCCAGCCCGGCCGTTTGCTCAGTCTGCCGGCAAATCCCTGGCTAAATACGCTTCCGATATTATCCCTGCCGAGCGGGGAGAGCCACTGTTTGCTTTAATATCCCATTTTAATATAGTGGGCGGCCGGGTGTTGGAAGCGCGCTCTCTTTCTGAAGGTTACATTTACATGCCGCTTCCCGTGCAAGGCGCCCATCGCCGCAGTGGTTCGGCAGTTGTTGCCCTGGGAGCATCCCAAAACACATCCACCTCCCGCCTGCCGCTGCTCCGGCTCCTTCTCTTCCTGCGGTCCCACCACCCCTCGGGCAGAGTGGGCAATTAAGATGTCGAAGGACTACAAAGCCAGTTAAGGTAATTGCCGCCCCCAGCCCCGTGTTGGCAGTTTCACACCAGCAGCATGCCAATATTTTTGACCCATGCTTCTCACCAGCCCTTGAGACAACACAACCCAGGCTCCTGCACCAGCATCCCTCCCACTACCCCAAAATCTGCATCCTCCCAGGGATGCCCGCAAACCCCAGAGATAATGCTGTAGAGAGCGGGACCACTCCCTGCACGAGCTCTGTTCCTCCCTAGACGTCATTTTCTCATCAGTAAATCACATTTACACAAATAAGCTCCCCAACATCAGTCCTTGATGAACTAAACACCCGGGCAAGTGCAGCTCCTCTCCCAGAATTAAATTACCACCTCCGCTTTATCAGCCACAATTTATTGCCACTAACTTTCAGCTGGCCTCAATTAAATCCTGCCATCCCGGGGAGCAGAGGGAAAGGGGACGCAGGCAAAGGCGGCTGAGCCTTTTAATTACTTTCTAAATGTGTTCCCTGCAAAAAAATGTATTAAAGTGCAGCGGAGATTTTAACCTCCTAACGAAAAGGAGACCTACGTGATTCATGGCTAATTACGTTCATTAGCAGGAGCCATACGCGAAGGATCGCAGCGTTCAACAATAGCCCTGCTGTTTGCGGGAGGGAAAACAAGGGACATGGGGCAGAGGGCAGGGGAAGGTGCCCCAGTGCTGCAGGGAACTGGTTTGGGGCGGGTTGAGTTTAATTGGGGAATCTCCTCTTTAACCTGTGCAGATGAGATGCCCACCCGGAGGAAAATCTGTTAAATCAAGGTGATGCCCAAAGGGAAGGTGGGGATGTAGCAGCTTCCCTGCAAGCACAGGAGGAATATTCCCATCAAAAACCCCAAATTGCCACAATTAGAGGTAATTGCAAGGAAAAAATCCCCATGGGGGCGCATCTCACTGCTGCGCGGGGGTCAGGCTTTATCGTAGGCACCCTGTGATGGAGAGGTGCCAGCCCCGAGGTGCTGTGGCTGCCCCAGTCAGGATGAGTTGACTCTGGTGGGCTCTGGAGCGTGGCTGCCCATCCCTCCATCCGAGGGACAACGTCACGCAAATGACTGTGCGCTGCCCCACAGCGACTGATGTCTCCTGACTGCCCCCCCCGGGTGTCAGTCATTACTGACACATTTATCACCAGCAACCTCCTTTACGGCTTGAATATCAGAGCTCTTTGAGCCATCACTCCCCTGGCACAAGTGCGTGAGGGCACTTGTAGGATTATTTTTTTCCCCCTTTCCTCCTCCCAGGTGATATTTAAGGGGTGTAGTTTCCCAAGGAAGGATGTGGCTGGTACACCCCCCAGCTGAGCACCCACTCCACCTGGAGGGGATCCCAAAGGCCAAACCCTGCTCCCCAACATCACGATGGTGCCCAATGCCACCCGGCACATCAACCCTCACAAAACAGCATGGACCCCACAGGCGGGGATGCCACCCTCCACCCAAACACCCCAAAAAACTCCGTGCTTCCCTTTGCCACAGCATCACGCCGGCAAAGGTCACGGCTCCTGCTCCGCGCAGCACAGCTTATCCTCAAGTCAACAACCCGCTCTTCACGGGGCTCAGATGTGCCGGGAAGGGGGGAAAGCACCCGGGCGGAGGGTGACAGCCACCTCCGGCGTCTCTGACAGCCGCCACGGGAGAAGAGCCCCGCTGCTCGGCTCCCCGGCGCTGACAGGCAGCCGGGGCAAGCGCACCCGGG